ATAATGTCCTCGTGAGTGGATATCAGGCCTTTGTAGAGCTAAATTGAGTATTTGGTCTAAATAACCCAAAATGTGATGTCCACATATGTGGACACCAGGTCCAGGAGGTTAATTTACAACAGCAAATATTTTGACTTCCAACAAATAATTTCATTGAGGAATAATACAATAATATAATCAATAACCATCAATGAGACACTTTCATTTTTATCAGCACAAGTTACAAACAGTGCCAACTAAGGTGCTGAAAACGAATGCTCAATGGCTTGAAGATGAGCTGTGAAGCTGTAGTTTACTTGCTTTACTAATTACTTCCGTCTCCTCATGTCCTACACAGAGAACTTCTGCTGTTTTCTACCTACATGTCCCTAGGCTTTAAATACACACTGCAAGGGCTAATGAGAAATGACACAGAACTAAAGAACTAAACCAACCTTAACTAAAAGAGGGTGACCAGATAGGTAAATAGGTTAAGCACAATACACAAGTGATAACAAAATAAAACAAGAAGTGAGATGCAAAAACTAGCAGATAAACACAGGCAGAACTGAGCTAAGTATAGGGGAATTCCCAGAGACAGGAATGCTGTGAAAAAACTGAGGGAATAAACACCACGGCAAACCTTTAAACAATAAGCAACCTAAGAATTAAACCTAAGTTATTAAGTGATTCTTGGCATAAACTGAACTGAACTGTTGATATTCTTTTATGTTACATATTTATGTTAAACTATTACAACATAATAACTTCAAAGAATTACAAAGAAAATTTCAGGATTACTGACAGTAGTAGTAATCTCTCCACCAATCATTTCACCATAATTTAGCTTCTTCTTTAATTGAAAAAAGACACAGAACGAATAATGAAACCAGGTTGCATTTACTGGATTTACTGAGGAGGGTAAGTCACTGCAGACTACGTGATTTTTATGTTGTGTCTGTTCCATTAATAACTAACAGAAAGAAGTTTTGGTCTCAAAACGCTTAGAAAGCATCAACTTATAAAATTAAATTGAAAAAAGAATAAAATGTCCTTGATAACAACTACATTAAAATAGCTTCTCTTTTTATTGAATAAATCCAATCATATTATAATATAAACAAAATTATTCACACATACGAGGGACAGAAAAGTTTAAGGTCAAATCAAATAATAATAATTTTGAATGTTTAATATCCAAAATCAAACATTGCGGTATGTTTAAGAAACATGCAGATGGATAAGATAAACTCAAGGAAGACAAAATCATCACCACTCCTGACATACCTTTGACTTCTCAGGAGTAAAAAATGAGGTGATATACACAAACCAAAGACAGAGCCAGACAAACAATCTCTATGATAATCTACTGAGGAGGCCTCACAATCTTGCTGCAATGCTTTCCTGATCCTGTTACCCAGTCATGATTTAAAAAGAATCTCAGCTGTTTTTATGTTTAGTGTTTAATTCATTTACTGATTGTTGTTTTAATATAATTAAATTATAATTGAGAATGGAATTATAGATGGCATTAAAGAAAACCTAAGAACCTAAGCCTTCACAGTCACAGGAAGCATGCAATATATAAATTCCCCTCTCGTCCCTGTGCGCAGTCTATCCTTCAAGTTTGGGTCTTCTACCGGAGGGCTGGGAATCTGAGGGTCCTGCGTAGTATCTTTGCTGTTCCTACACTGTAAAATGTAATATTGTGTTTAATTAAAAATATTAAGTAGGCAGAACTCAGTTTTTTTTAATCAATTTGTTATTAGAACTCAATTTAAGTAACTTACCAGTACTTGTTATGCAAAAATGCTGATCAACTCAATTTATTTGAGTTTTCTTAACTTAGAAAAGCTAAGTAAGCTGGAAATGTTGCTTCTCAGGGCGGAAGGATGAAATGATGTGGTTTGAAAACACTACCGTCCTCCTCCCTCTCGGATCAGTCCGCATGTTCATGGTGCATTTGTTATGGAATATGTTGAGCAAACCTGGAGAAGCGTCAGCTCAAGAGATTATTGTCGTTGCTGTGGATCTTTACCTGATACACTGACTTGGTGAGTAAATGTTTACTCTTATTCAAACTGATTTTGTGGCTTCTCTTAGTTTAGCACCAGGTTTATAATCTTGCTAGCTAGTTAGTGTTAGCCTAGCGTTGCTGCTGCGGCTGGGCTCATGTTACTTAAAAATTAACACCACAGCCTTAAAAACCTTATAAAATATGTCTGTGAAATTTTCTGTTGATTGTTTGAAATAAAAAAGTGAGATAAGAGCCCAGACAAAATTCTTCGGGAGGTGTAGCCGTTAGGGGTAGGGTGGGGTGTGGGGGTATTTTCAATCCATAGCCATAACTAACTAACTAATTATATCATGTTTAACCTGAGTAGCAAAAGACCGCAGGGGGGTTGAAAATAATACGCCAGCAGTTAGCTGTGCTCGCGGACTCTATTGAGCCTTGACCTCCCGGTCAGCTATCGCGCTGGTGGATAACAGAGCTCTCCGAAAACATGGAAGCACTTTTGCAAATATGTGATATTTTGATAAATTAAGTAGATATTTGAGCATTACACAGCTACATTCTCGCCTGAAAATATCTTAAAAGTTTATTTGGTGACCCAGAAAGGGTAGTCTGGTGAAACGGAGGCCGTGGTTGTCGGAGCCTGTCTATGTGTACTTGTGTGTACTTGTGGTCTCGTGGACTTGTGATACGTTGGAGAACAAGTACTGTTCCAGTTCAAAGTACACATGAAGCTGGGAACGCGAAAATTTCCGGGATGTGTCTTTGCTCCTCTCGTTTTATCGAGCATGTATCCTGACTTGTGTGGACTTCGAGGGACGTGGTACAGCTAAATATCCCAGAATGCAACTGTCCAAAACTCAAACGCGGCAATGGCGGAGGAGCGCAGCTAAAAAAACTTTAAATATTACATTTCCCGGGTCACAAAATAAACTTTTAAGATATTTTCAGGCGAGAATGTAGCTGTGTAAAGTTCAAGTATCTGCTCGATTTATCAAGACATCACATATTTGCAAAAATGCTCCAACGTTTTTGAAGACGTCTATTTTTTTAATGCTTTGTGACAGCTTCTGAACATCTGTGGCATCTATTAATGTCAAATCTAGACTTTCTTTAACAACATAAGCAAACTGCTTTTATATTTAACCACTTTTCTGTTTAATTACAATTTAAATAATAATATTAACAATAGTATTTGTTTTGTTAAAACGTGCTTAAAAACAAGTTTTGTTGTGAAAGCTATAATCCAGATTAGTGGCCTGTTAAATGGTTGAAGTCTAGGTTGGCTTTATAACTGAGAATAAAGTATTGTTGTCCTTCTAAAGAATTAAGTTAAATTACACAGTTGAATCATAAGAAACATTATGTTACATATAAACCCTGCCATATGTGAGATCTGGTCATATTGCTTATAAGAAACTTTATATACTGGAGGTTAGCTTTGAACAAGCATGTAATGATTATATTTAAATTCGGGGGTCTTTTTTTAAACACACTAAACCGACAGTGCCAATACCACACATTCAGACACAGTAGTAGATGCTGTTTTTATTACTATATGTGTTAGTCTAATTTGGTTGTAT